CCCAGTTTACCCCCTGGGAGTCAGGGACAAAAAGCCCTGAGTAGCACCATGCTCTGGTTTAAATATAGAGAGGGTCAGGGGGGCAGGTACAAACTTTTAACCAATCAGGGACCAATATGGGAGGAGCAGGAGGCGGGGTTTACAGTATAGGGGCCAATAAGGATAAAGGGGAGGAGAAAACAGGTCACATGGGCCAATGGGACATGGAGGGTTAAAGGAGTGACAGAGGGGTGGGGCAATCAGGGATTGGCCCAACTGGGGATTGACAGGGAAGGGTCTGGAAGAAAGGGCGGGGTTGCAGTGACAGGCAGGGAAGGTTCTGGAATAAGGGGTTGGGCCACAATGATAGGCAGCATGGGGGGGTGGGGCTACAACCTAGGGGCAAACCAACTCCGAGGAAACATAGGAACAAACCCTTAACTGCACAACCATAAATTAACTATTAAAATGAACACACACCGCAACAGTGGCAGGGCTGGGATGTGTCCCCTGGCCCCAGTGAGGACTGGCAGCATTCCCTGCTGGGCCTGGTTTACTCTGAGCTGCCCACGCTTTATTAAATCCCAGCAGTAGGGCCCCAAGGCCAGGGATGAGCACCAAGTGCTGCTGGAGTGACTGCACAGAGCAAAGGAGGGAAATTACATGTTTTACTCCACTTGGAACCCAGCTCTGCTCTGAGTTCAAATTTCTTTACTGAGATTTTCTGTTTAAGTCTTTTAAAGAATGGGGCAGCTGGGGGTTTTTAATCAGAGAATCGTAGAATTGTTGGGGCTGGAAGGGACTGGAAAAATCCATTTCCAATGTCCTGCAGGTACATCTGCCACTGTCTCAGGTTGCTTCAAACCCCATCCAACCTATCCTCGGATACCTCCAGGGATGGAGCAGCCACAGCTTCTCCCACAAAAGGGGCTGGTTTATTCTTATTTTTAATTTATTCTTATATTTGTCATACTCAGAATGACACTTCTTAAAATCAAGATAATCAACTCTCATCTTCCCAGCGATGAGCAGGATCTCTGGGGATCAGAACGTTTCCTGCTCTTGCCCTGAGGAATGGGTGGTGTGTCCCTGAAATCCGCTTTCCTCCATTTTCTGGGGATCAAGGAAAGATTTTAATTCCTGCCCTCCAACAAGCCCAAACTCCAAGTCACTCTGAGCCTTCTTTATTGCGCTCACTCTTATGAGGAAGGCATTAATATCAGACAGGTAATTTATTTTTCTTAATTTAAGGCAAGGTTCCAGCTTGATGGACTCGCAGCCCCTCTAACCCCCCTTCCTTTCTACAGCTTTAAAAAAGTGACAAGTGACATTTAAAGGAGCCAAAACCACCTAAAAATTAATAACTTTCAATACACACTACATTAGAGCCTTAAATCTTCACGCAGCTTGAAAATATCTATAAAAGCACTAGATTTGCCATGGCCAACGTGCCAAATTCCTTCAGGGACTTTTTCCAGTGGGGAGTCAGGATGAAATTGTGTTTATCAATCTTTGGAACACTTGCAATTCATTACTGAAAAGGGCAGCTTATTCCAAAAGATTTTTAAATCTCACAGCAAAATATTGCCAGCCTTGGAAATAACTTGGAGCAGGAGAAGTGCTGGGACAGGCTCTGGGATGCAGATCCCACCTCAGCACTCCCAGGACAGGGGAATTTCTGTGCCCCATGGACATTTGCAAGGTGACTATGAGTGAGGGAGAAAAGCAGCGTCTGATTTTCCCCCAAATCTTTGAGAATCTGTTATTTAGACCCATCAGTTGTTGGTTTTTTGTTGGTTTTTTTTTGCAAAACATGAAGTTTACAGCTTTGATTTGAAGCTCAGCAGCTTCTCTGGGGGTTCTGTGACCTCCAAGATGCCACCAAAGCCACGATTCACCAGTGAGGTCCCTTCATTAACTCCCCTTTTGCTGTTTGCTGGGAGAGGAATCCCTGGGAACACCATCAAAGTTTAATTTTTAATTTTTAGGTCTTACCTGGAGATCTGTTGAGTTTCTCCATTCTCCCTTGCAGAGCAGCCACTTCCCTCAGCAGAGCTTTGTGGAGTAGAACTCTGAGGAGAGTTTGGGCATGGTCTGAAGCTGAAGGTGCAACAGAATCACGTGAATCCAGGAACTGAGACTTTAAAAAGAGCACAAAAAATACAAAGCTCATAACAAAACACATCAATCTTGGCTTTTGGCATTATGGCCAGAGAGCAACTTTTTTATAAATTTCTTTGTTTTTAATTTCAGGCAGGAGAGTTAAAATTTGGATTTTTGTAAAATCTGAAGCCCCACATCAGCTTGTAAAGAGCCCTTTTGATCTGACCACCTGAGCTCAGCCCGATGGCTTCTGATTTGATCAAAAGAAATCCAGGACACGATTTTTTGGCTCTTCCAGACCTTTAGCACTTGAGGAAGGTTTAGCTTCATGCCTTGAACTCATTCTTGGAGCATTTTCTCCTTAATTTTTAAGGATACAAACAGAAGTTATGGGCTTCTTACCCAAACTGGCATCAGGGTATAAATAGAGGAAACCCAGCAACACTTCAGGCAGAAAAACATGAATTTACCCAGACACTGTGCCCGCAGGAGTTTATTTTGTTCCCACAATTCCCACTAATTGCCAAGAAAATCTGTAATCTAATGTCAGATACAAACATCCTCCAAATCAATGCTAAAATTAGGTTATTTTGAAATACGGAAATAAAAAAGGGGGAGTTTGTTTAATTTTACCTTCTCTTTCAGTGGCTTTTCCCAGAGCACAAGGGGAAGTTGCATTCAAGATGATTATAAATGAAATTAAAAAATAAACAATATATTCTCCAATATCCACATGCCCAGCAGGTGGGGGGGTTAAGGAAAAAAGACACCGAGACCAGAAACATTTCTGGGTGACATTTCCTTCCCCGGTCCTGGCAGATGCAGAACAATCCTCTCAAAAATTATACCAGGATTTTACAATTGCTTTTAATGATCCTTACAATAAAAATATTTCCATTCTCATCTTTCAGGAGCACGGGAATGCTGTTCTCCTTTGGATGTTTATTGGAATGCATCCTCCTGCTGACCTGGAGCCGCCAGGAGTGGCTGGGAGCTCTTCCATTTTCAGCTGCATGGGTCAGTGTTTTGAACTCCGTTTGAAGGGAACTCGCGTTTGGAGCAGCCTTTTCCCTCCATCCATGGCACTGCCAAGGCTGACAGATCTCAGGAGATCTGATCTGGAAATTCCTCACCTGGATTTCCACTCCGTTTTCTTTTAATTTCCTGCCCAACACTTAATTGTAAATGCATTTAAATCCATGCATCAAGTTCACTCTGTTTCCCTGCCTAGCCCAGCACATCCATCCCCATCCTTCCTTGCCTTTCAGGGAAAAATAAATCAGTTTTCCAGGTGAGAAACACAGGAGACAATATGATATTGTATCTATGAGACAGCACTCAGCCCTTGCAGGAATTCATTAAGCCTCATGTATTTCACATAACACACCCAAATAAATACCTGAAATAATAATCAAATTCAATCTGTCCTAAACTTTGTCCATGTGTTATTCCCCCTCCAGGTAAAAGCTCATCCCTTGTGTTCTAATCTGAGTTGGTTTAGCTCCAGCTCAGGTTTGCAAATGAAAAAACTAATTTCTGATTAAAATCCCAACTTTTAGATAAATGTTGTTTTCCTTCTCTTCCCCTCTCACAACCCCCAAACCACCTCTTTTTTTTAGACAAACCAAATAAATTGAGCTTCTCCAGACTCAGGTTTTTAAAATTCAGAACAATTCCCTGATTTCCTTCCAAGATGGGAGAAACAGGGCCCAGCACCATCCCCTGTCTCCACGGGATCCCCGTGTCACACACCCAGAGAAATCATTCAAACAGTAGCTTGGCTGTGGTGTCCCAACCACAAAATAATATGTTTATTTTTTTTCCACCACTTTTTTTTTTGTTTGTTTGTCGTTGTCATTTTATTGATAAAAACTACACAAAAACTAACTGATCATAATAATTAATTAAAAAAAAAACAAACCAAAACCAAAACCCAAACCAAAAAACAACGTTACACATTCTGCTGTGTTTTAGAAATTGTGTCAGCCAGTGAGTTGCACTAAATGCTCTTTAAAATATTTTCCTTCTGATCCATTTCAAGCACTTCACTTCCATTTTGGTTCCCAAACGTCCATGAATTTTGCTTAACAAGCACCACTGGCTTAGAAATCTGAGTCGTGACTCCGTTGCAGTATTTTCCCCTTTTTTTTAGAGCCCGAAAAGGAACTAGAGTGTCAACAATGAAGCACAATGAAGATAAAAAATCAAAAGCCCCTTCCATAGTGTACAGCCTGTGTCTTAAATGTACATGCACCCGAGTTTCTTTGTTTCTGCTGCATCAATTGCCAAGGTCCTTTTGGTTCAACATAAGCTTTAATGCCCATGTCTGAAGGTTGAAATATTAATGTTCGACCACTTAAAAAACAACCAAAAAAAAAAACCAAAAACCCAACCATAAAAACCAACCCCCGAAAGGAAAAAAGAAAATATAGAGCTATATTTTGTTGGTTTAAAAAGAACAAAAATAGTCAATGGATCTTTGTAATAAACACTTAATAAGGGAACATGGCTGACCCTCCCCAGAGCCTTGCCCTCCCCACCCCGTTTATTTTTACCTGTGGTTCTCCTTCCCTGGAACCGTGCAATGTAGAAAAATCAAATATACAAACAAAACTCTTAATCCATCCCTTTATGTAGCTAGAGTGAAATCTATTTGTTGTTGTTGTTGTTGCTGTTGTTCTTTTTAATAAGAACTCGACAATCTCTCTCTTTAATATTTACACTGAGGAATTTGTTTGAAAGTTTAAAGCAAAGAAAATCCTGAAGTTCTCCGCGCGCCTTCTGCACGCCGGCGTTCCCGGAGGCCGCGGCCATCCCCTGCCCTCAGAACATCTGGAATGGTGGGGTTGGAGCGCCTTGCCTGGTCTCTTCCCAGATGAAAGGTCCCTCCCAGAGCTGTCCCCCGGAGGCGCCCCGCGTTAGTTGGGTATTCTCTCGATGTAGATGGCGGGGGCGGCGGAGCGCGCGATGGTGGCGATGAAGCTGTGGTCGCGGCCCAGGTCCAGGTTGGAGGTCTCCACCTGCTCCCGGGACACCGTCTCGTAGCCCTTGTTCACGTGGAGGGGCTTGTGGGCCTGGCAGTAGCCGATGACGGGCTGGTCGTAGCTGTAGTAGGGTAAAGTCTTCATGTGGTGAGGGACCTGCACCAAGAACGGGACCAAAGAACAGCAACTGTCAGCACCGGGCTGAGCCTCGTGTTCATGCAGCATCACCAGCAATCCCAACACAGCCTCAATCCCCCGGGATCAGCCCACAGGAGAAACCCCCGAGAGTTCCCGGCTCCCTGCAGCACGTTTGAGTCCCTCTGGAGCAGCACTGCCAGGCTGGCAGAGCTGCGGGTGCTCAGCCTGGAGGAGGAAATGCTCCAGGGAGATCTTAGAGCTCCTTCCAGTGCCTCAAGGGGCTGATGAAAAGGAGGGAGAGGGACTTTTTCTATGGACAGTGGTTTTACACTGCCAGAGGGCACAGTTAGGTGGGATATTGGGAAGGAATTCCTCCCTGTGAGGGTGTGAGGGGCTGGGATGGAATTCCCAGAGCAGCTGTGGCTACCCTTGGATCCCTGGAAGTGCCCGAGGCCAGGTTGGAGCCACCTAGGATAGTGGAAGGTGTCTCTGTCTTGTCAGGGGGTGGAATGGGATGATTTTTAGCTCCCTCCCACCCAAACCGTTCCAGGATTCCATGATCCGTGTCCCCACTCCCGGATGGATCTCCTTCCCGCCTGGCAGTGCTGGAGCTGGAGCAGAGGGAGCTGCTCTCACTCCCTCTCTCCCTTTCCCCAGTTTGTGGGCAGATGTTCAAACTGCTCGATTCTGACTCTTTGGAATGACCCAGTCTGAAAAACAAACCAAGGAGTTTGTAAACCCAGCAGCTTCCAGAAACTTTCCCTTTTTTCCAATGCTGGGAAAGGCTCTGAGGGTTTCTGGAGTGCCCAGACCAGCCTGGGAATGTCAAAGGCAGAGCCAGCTGGCAGCGGGGGTGGAGCCAGCACAGCTGGAACAGGGGTTTATTCCTTGGTGCCAGCACAGCTGGAACATCTGTTTATTGCTTCCAGGACAAAGCTGCTCACCCAAGGTCACGATTCCTGCCGTTCTTTATCTTCCAACTCCCCCAAGCCAAACACTGTCAAAGCAGCTCCACTGCTGCTCACCAGAGCTGAGCACATCCACACCTTGCACAAATGTATTTCCAAACCCTGCCAGATCCATCCTGAATCCCAGCTCTTCCTTATGTAAATCCTCAGAAACTGCCAGGCCCCCACCTGCATTTTTTTATTTTTTTATCCCCCCTTCCATAAATATTCTACGCTTGCAAATGTTAATCCTACGACTAAATATGATTTATGGCACAACATCAGATACAAATCTTTGCAGATAATTTTATCATCTGCAAGAGATGAGCTGATCAAGTTGAAAGAAATATGCTCTGAGGGAGAAAAACACATGCGGCAGGAGAGAGAGAGGCGAGAGTTGATTCTAACGCTGCCAGCAAACCTGAGCTCATTATAGCTGGAGATATCCTACACATAATCCAATCTTGGAACAAATGCCTTTTGATTTTCCAGGCTGAACTTTAAGTGAAGACCACAGAGCTAATTTCTCCCAAATTTTCATTGCTTGGTGCACTTCATCCCAAAAAAGCATGGAAAAAGCAAAGGCATTAAGGCTAATTGGGAAGTTTTGCAGGGTCAGAGTTCCTCTCGATGTGGATCCCCTGCAGAACGCTGGAGAGATCCCAAAATCCTTCCAAGAGCTGGAGTTCAGCTGAAAATATGATCTGACATGCCAGCTGAGTGGCAGGGATGTGGAGGATAAGCTGCTGGGCAGAATTTGATGGGACAACTGTGCTCACTTGTGGTTTCACAAGAACCCAGATCTCCCCTGGATAGAGCAATATCTGTGCCAGTCCCTGTCAGGGCTGAGTTTGGCCTCAGCTTTCAGGCATTTATGATTTCATAAAAGCCAAGGACTGTTTGTGTTCTGGAGAGCTGAGGGATGGAGGTCCTGGCACAGCAGCAATAACACACAGCCCATTAAACACCTGAGGCCTGGCTGCAAGCTCCAAATGGGAGTCAAAGGGACCAGGATTGCCACAACATCCCTAAAAAGCGATAAACACGGGGTTTTCCAGCCCTTTTCCAGTGACTTTATAGAATCTCTCACTAATTTTCACTTCCTGTGCACATACAAATCACAGCAGTAAGGGTGGAGGGAGGGTGGGTATTCTTTATCACCGTTACAAATAAAACAAGAGTTGTAACAGGTTAATTTGCAGGTTAAATAAAATTAGGATGCTGCAGGTTAATTTGCAGAGCATTTTTAGGATAATGAGGCCCAGCAAGGGGTTCTCAGTCCTGGCCCTCATGCTGCTCTTCCTCTCCCTCTTTTGTGGCCTGGATTTCACTAAGGGGAATTAAAGAAATAATTGTGTCAAATGGATGTGAGAAGCTTTGTCCTCCAGTAAAGACTGAAGGCAGAGATGCCACCAGCCCCTTCCACCCCTGACAGCCCTTGGGATGCCTCTGGAACCAGAAAAACAACCACAAGAGCAGTTCAAACCTTTCTGGTCAAAGGGAGGATGCCAGGGCTGTCCCACAAAGAGTCCTTCCCTGGGAAATAACTTTGCATTTGCAGGAAGACACAAGGGCTCAGTTTTTATTTACACTGGAGGTGACACCTGAGCCCCCAGAAAGCTTTTCCAGGACACAGCCTTGGCTGTGGAAACTGCTGCAAATGTGGGGACAACTGTGGCAGCACTCATCCAGTAAAAACATGGAAAACACTGGTGATACTCACTCTACACAAAGCTGTTACTACTCTATTTTTACAGATTCAGAGATCAACAAAACACATTCAAAATCATCGAAATTGCAGAGAATTAATTTTAGAAGTGTTTTTTGCTCTAGGTTCTGAGGTAATTTCCTCTTTTTTTTTCACTCCTGCTATGGAACTAATACCTGAGACACTCGGATGTGACCTTGCACAAGTCATTTTATGAGCTGGAAAATGAGAAGCTTCAGTCCTGCCCCTGCTTGTCCTTGGAGTCTGGAGCTCTCTGAGGTGAAGGCTGTTTGTGTGGGGACTGAAACAACCCAGCTGTGACCTAAGCTGGGCCTTCAGCTGCTTTGGCCTCCAATAGACAAAAAAAAAAAAGCAAAAAAAAAAAGCAGGAGAATAAATTCCAGTCAAATAAATAAAAAAATATCCAGACAAATAAATATAGCCCTGGAATTGTGTCCTCAGGCCCTGGAATGGGGTGGTGGTGGAGTCCCCATCCCTGGAGGGATTTAATGTGCAATCATGGAATGGTTTGGGTGGGAAGGGACCTTAAATCATCCAGTGCCACCCCTGCCATGGCAGGGACACCTCCCACTGTCCCAGGCTGCTCCAAGCCCTGGCCTAGGACACTTCCAGGGATCCAGGGGCAGTCACAGCTCCTCTGAGCTACTGTGTCTCTCCACAGCATTTTCTGACAATTTTCTATCTAATTTTTCTCTTTTCATTTCCATTTTAATTTCTAAAACCAGCAATCCCCAATTCTTACCCAAAGTACTTAAACCTTTTGCAGCAGGACAACATGGATCAGCGTGAGAAGGAGCTCCAAAGTCACCCACACAACACAAACATCTTGGGTTTAACCCATGTGTGGCACCAGGTAGAACTCTCTGCCACACTGTCCATCCTTCCCAGGGAGGGTGTGAGGAGCTGGGATGGAATTCCTGGAGGAGCTGTGGCTGTCCCTGGATCCCTGGAAGTGCCCAAGGCCAGGCTGGAGCAGCCTGGGACAGTGGGAGGTGTCCCTGCCCATGGTGGCACTGGGTGGGATTTAAGGCCCCTTCCCACCCAAACCATTCCATGATGATTTTATTGTTCTACCCAAAATTGTAAAGTTAATTCAGCGAAGCCTGGAGTTCCTCCCCTGTGAGAGCTGGGAGTGTTCAGCGGGGTTTGGGCTCTAGGCCTGGATTAGTTTCCCAGTATTGATTTCTCAAGCCCCACCCCACAGATCTCCACTCTAAACGTAATAAATGTTGCATCCAAGCAGCCACACACTTCAAACAAAGCTCCTGTTACAAGCACAATTTACATAAATCCCCAGCTAAGGGTGGAGGACAAAAGATTCAGCGGTGGGAATTTAAGGAATGCAAATCCTCCCTGTCGAAGTCCAAGTGACACTGGAGAGGTTCCCAGCTCAGCAGCTTTGCTGGAGCACAGGTGCTCCCCTCAAAACCAGCTGGAGTAGCTGGAGCTGCCCAAAATTCAGGGAGATTCTGGCCTGTGTGAAAAGGTGTAACCCAAAATTCAAGGAGATTCTGGCCTGTGTGAAAAGGTGTAACCCAAAATTCAGGGAGATTATGATACGTGTGAAAAGGTGTTACCTGAAATTCAGGGAGATTCTGGCCTGTGTGAAAAGGTGCTACCTGAAATTCAGGGAGATTCTGGCTTGCATTAAAAAGGTGTTACCCGAAATTCAGGAAGATTCTGGCCTGTGTGAAAAGGTGTTACCCAAAATTCAGGGAGATTCTGGCTTGCATTAAAAACGTGTTACCCAAAATTCAGGGATATTCTCGTCTGTGTGAAAAGGTGTTACCTGAAATCCAGAGAGATTCTGGCCTGCGTGAAAAAGGTGTTTTCCAGCATGCCCTGCCCACTTTTCCTCTGACAGCCACCACTGATGTTCAGCTCCACCCTCAGGCATCCAAAAATGCAAATGCAGGTACCCACATTGCAACCTGGATTATTTATTTGTCTTTTATATTTCTTTGGCACTGCATTGAATTCTGTCGGTTTTACTTAAGTTGAAAATGTCTGGGAGTTAATTAGCTGTGATTATCACACAAGAAAGTTCGATTAAAAATAGCCAGAGTTTAGAATTCAGCCTGGACTTCTGTTTTTTTGTAGGTGCAGCCATCAAAACCTAGGTTTTTAGCCAAACATCAATAAAAATCCTTATTCTGGAACTTGGAGAGTGCAGCAGTCGGGATGTAACCTCACCATATTCCTCCTGGATTCAGGGAGCTTTCAAGGATTTGGACTGGGGTCTGAGTGAACACCGTGTGACCTCATTTCCAGAGTGCTTTTCTCTCTCTCTCACCTCTCCTGTGTTAAACACTCTCACACATTCTTAATTCCTTGCTCTGCCT